ACTGAACTGGAAATATATGGGTTGTTTTCCATAGGAAAAGAAAAACAGATGGGAAAGGGAAAGAAAGGAGCAATTTGACAACTAAAAATAGTTGGGAAAAGATAAGAAGAAACAAGCGAGTCTTAGAGCAAAGGAGTGAATGGAGCCAACAGATCTGTTGCTCTTTGCTCAGATGGGGTAGGCCTTGGCTCTGCCAATGAGTGGTGTAAAGTACAAATACTGTAAGACAAGAGGACATGTGAGTAGCCATGAAATATTCCTTTCTGAGAAACTAGGAAACTGGACAAGATCCCTCCGGATGGTGCCCAGGATGGAATATGACTTGAAAATGACAAAGAGCCCAAAGTGCAGTACTTCTTTAACCTATTTAAGAATGTTGAACAAGTCTTTACACAGTTCGTAAGCACACAGTCCAGCCGAGCAGGAAATTGGGGATGGGGAAGGAGTGTGGGGTAAAACTGCACAGATTAGCCCTTGAGGAAAAGTTCCTTGATTCTAAATCACAAACAAAGTCATTCATTTGTTTATTCATGCAATAAATATTAACCTTCTATATGTTCCAGACATTGTTCTAGGTGCCAGGGATACAGCACTGAACAAGACAAACAAGGTACCTGCTCTTCTGGACTTTATAGATAGGGGCAAAAAAATAAGTATAGAGAAACACACATGCTTTATATAAACTAAAATAAAATAGCTATGAGACAGAGTGTGGTTATATGAATACTTTACATAGGGTGGTCAGGGCAAACCTCTCCAGGGAGGTGACTTAAGATGAAACCTAGATAATAAGAGGAAGCCAGCCTTATGGTGATCTGTATAGCAGGGAGAGAGAAGAGAACTGCAAAGGCTTGAGGTAAGACTCCCACTTGGTATATCTGAAGAACAGAAAAGGGATCTGTGTGACTGCAGTAGTGAGTCCTGGGAGGGTGGGGCAGACATAGGCAGCAGGTACATAAAAAAGGAGTTTGGCTTTTCTTCTAAGTGCTATGGGATGCCAAGGGGTGAGTTTAAGTGGCGGAGTGGCACTTCAGTTTAAAGAGACCACTCTGGCTGCTCTCTCCATGGACTGCCAGGGGCAAACACAGAAGCAGAGATGGATTAGGAGGTGATACGGAAGTCCAGTGACAGATGTCAGAGGTTCGGACTGACAGAGGTTTGGATGGTAGCAGGAGAGGAGAGGAAAGTAGATGAATGCAGGTAAATTTGGAGATATTACAATAGGTAATCATGATAGGCTGGATGTGGGATATGATGGAAAAAGAGCAATCAAGGGTGATGCCTAAAGTTCGGGGCTCTAGCAGCCAGATATATAACAGTGTTATTTACTGAGATGGGGGTAAGCAAGAGGTGAGGAAGAAAGGAAGAAAGTAAGGCTGGGATTAAGAGTTATGATTTGGATACATTAAATATGAGATGCTTCTCAGATTCAAGTCTGGAAGTCAGGACTACAGATGTTAAGTTAGCAACCAGAAGGTATTTAAAGCAATGGGACCCAATGAGATTACTCAGAAAGAGTACGGAGAAACCCAAGGATGAAGCATTGGAGGCTTTCCAAAGCTAGAGGTCAGCTGTTGGAAACCAGCAAGATGCAGAAGAAATGAGAAAGTGTGGCTGGACATGAGCCAATAAAAGAAAGTGCTCCAAGAAACAAAAAGTGACCTACTACATTGCTGCTGAAAGTCAAGTAACATAAGAAGAGAGAATTAACCACCCCATGTGGCAAGATGGTGCTTGTTGGGGACCCTAAAGAAGGTAATTTCAGTGGGCTGGTGGGAGGACAGCCAAGTGAGTGGGTTGCTTAAATAATGGAGGATGAGGATGTATAAGTGAGATACACAGGGAGTTCTTCTTAGAAGCTCTGCTGTGAAAAAGAGCAGAGAAATGAAGTAGGTAGGATGGTAATCAAAGAAGGTTTTTGTTGTTGCTGTTAACTTTTTATTTTCAAAGATACAGAGAAGTAGAGAAAATAGTATCATGAAGCCCCATGTCACTCCGCTTTGACAATTATCTGCCCCTCATCCCACTTCTTCCACCTATTCCCCAACTCATTCCCAACTCTTTACCCACAGGATTATTTTGAAGCAAATCCCAGACATCATTGCAAGGAACAATTGTTTTTTAAGTGAGAAGTACTATTTGTTATGAAAAAGGACAACAGAAAACCCTGTTATACAGTGCTCTCATTGAGAAAATTCCAGCTCCATCACTTTAGCAGACTGACTTTAATAAAATGTATGAACTGTATTCTTCCTTTAAAGCAGGATTCTCAAACTATGGTCCACAGCCCACTGAATGGGGTTCAGTGGGCTACCACCTGAACAGCAAACCAATCCAGCAAAGCACAGGTCCTTCCATTGTTATAAAGGATAGAGGAAGTCCAAGTTCACCTTTTGTTTTCTAGTTTTATATTTGTGCATAATATAGCTTAAGTAATATAGCTTATTACGTAAGTTATTTAGGATTACTAAAATTAGTACATTTATAGAGTTTCTAGGTAAGAAGTCTGATTGCCACACAATGCCTGGCACTGTTGTGGAACACATATGCTGATGGTTGGAATTTCTGTAAGTTGGGGGAAGTATGCATAATCCCCCATGCATGTCTTGAGTTGCTTATGGTTTGCAATTCTATTTTTGCTTTTTCACTATAAATTATTAAGCTTCATTAGCAATTTATTGTGGGTTGTTTGACTAAACTCTCAGTATATAACGATACATATGTGACTATCAAGAAATTTGCAACTTGTTCAGTCTTCAGTCATCTGTGATCCTGGGTACAAAGATTTGAGACAGAAAAAAATGAAATCCAGAAAATTCTATATATTGTTAACATTTTCTGTGGATTCAGGGGAAACTTTAATTTTATGGAAAACCTCAATCCAGTTAAGACAGTATAGCAGTTAAGAGCCTAAATGGGATCTAGAGAGTGCAGGTTCAAATCAAGGCTTTGCCACTTAGTAGCTACATGACCTGGGGAGGTTATTTAACTTTTCTGTCTCTCAGTTTCCTCATCTGTAATTGGGGATTATAATAGCATCTACTTCATACATTTAAATGAGTGTCCATAACTGAAACAGTACCTGGCACATATTAAGTTCTATATTTTTCCATAGAAATATTATTGCTATACCCACTACAACAATTCCTACAACTATTACAGTTCATGACACCAGGGTTCTGAGAGAGGACAATATGAAAATCATGAATGTGACCGAAATCTTCCTAAGTGGTAGATCTAAATAGCATAAATGGTGGCTAGCTTTATAGGAAAACCCATTTAACCCATAATATAACCAAACAAGCTCTTAGTGAATACACTAAGAGCGCTAGCTTGAATTTTGGATCTTGGAACTATTTGGTGTAGAAGGCAGCAAGATATGGATCCTTCTCTGAATACGGGCCAGCCATAGAAAATGTTCTATAACAGATGAAAGAGGGTCTCCAGCATCTTCTTTCCTCCTTTCTGTAAGCCTCTTCTACCTTCTAACTCCTTGCTTTCTAAGCCCCAGGTATCTGATAACTTGATTTTGTCCTGAGTCCTCTCCTATAATACTTAGCAGGCCAGGTCTCCCCTAAGATATTCTATTTTTCAAAAATGAATTATTCTCTAGGATATTCTACTTCCAGCTATTGTGAAGAGAAAAATGCTTTTTAGAAAATGTATGGTTACTTATATATGGCTAATAACATCTTAAGGTTCTCAGAAGTATTCCTATTCTTAAAGTTCTTATCAGAATCTCTAGTTATCGGAAATTAAGGCAGAGTAACAAAACGTTAACTGAAAAAATTCAACCAGTCTGGGCCACCATAGAGCCTTGTCTGGAAGCCAGTCTGGAGATTAAAAAAAAAATCCATTAGGACTATTTACATGTTTTCTTCCCTCTATTTTGAAACAATATGGTATTTATGTTATATTATTATTTCTTACTGAGAAATAATAATTGTATCTATTTAGGGGATAAAATATTATTTTTTTATATGCATATACCTATGGAATGATTAACTCAAGCTAACTAACATATCCATCACCTCATGAACTTATATTTTTGTGGTGTGAACACTTGGATTTACTCAGCAATTTTGAAATAAACACTATTATTAAATACCACAGTTAACCATGCTGTACAATAGATTTCAAAAACTTATTTCTCCTGTCTGAGATTTTGTACATTTGACTAACTTCACCTCCACCTGCCCTCCACCCTAACCCCCAGCCCTGGTAACCACCATTCTACTCTCTGTTTCTAGGAGTTTAACTCTTTCAGACTCTACAGGCAAGTGAAATCACGCAATATTTGTCTTTCTGTTATTGGCTTATTTAACTTAACAAAATGTCTGCCACATTTGCCCATGTTGTCTCAAATGACAGGATTTCCTTCCTTTTTTTCAAGGCTGAAGAGTATCCCGTTGTGTATATATACACCACATTTTCTTTATCCCTTCATCCATTAATGGACACTTAGGTTGATTCTATATCTTGGCTATTATGAATGATGCTGCAATGAACATGGCAGTGCTGCTATCTCTTCGATATACCAATTTCAATTTCTTTGGATATATACTCAGCAGTGGGATTGCTTAATCTTACGATAGTTCCATTTTTAGTTTTTTGAAGAACTTCCATATTGTTTTCCATAATGGTTGCAGTAATTTACATAATATAGTATTTTAAAAATCTTTTTCTCTACAACAGCTCCTGTGGATCCTAATCCCAATGTATGAATGAAAAGGCAGGAAGTCAAGGGGTGGGGAGTGATTAGTCATTTGTAGGATTATCGAGAGAGAGAGAGAGAGAGAGTGTGTGTGTGTGTGTGTGTGTGTGTGTGTGTGTGTGTGTTATGGATATGGCATTTTATTTCTTGGAGGAGATGCAGATACTCAAAAATCACTGTTAATTAAGTGATTTTTTAAGTAGATGATTCTGTTCATAAGAAATTCAAAATCTGGGACCTAGAGTCAATTCCTAAGGTCAGGAGCAAACGTAAAGATCATGCTTACCTGAAGAACTCTTCTGGTTTTTCAAATTTATTATAATCCTTGATTCTTCTAGTACAGCTGTCTCTTGCCTAAAGAAAAGCCAGTGGATTAAACCACAGATTTCATTCTCTGACTCGCTATGAAAAGGATTTTAGGGGATTTCCATCAAGAACCATATAAAACCATATAAATATTACACAAATATAGACTGCAAGCCAGAAAACTATAAGTAAGTAGAAATTCGAGACCAGCAAAAATATAAACACAAGTATGCAGACCATGCTTGTTATAGGTGAGTTTCAAGTTTATCTCTGAGTCCCTTGGGGGCCAAAAAGAAGGAAGAAGCAGCATCCATTAAAGTTATTAGAAATGATAATGCATATTGTTTTCACCCAGAGAAGCAAAGCTCTTTTTGCAGCTATAGGTTCCAGAAGACATTTTTCAAATGAGTAGCAAAGTTGACAACATCCTTAACTCCAGGACCTCCGGCCAGAACTTAAAACTGCTTAGGGGTTCCTAAAAAATTGCACTAAGTGACAAGCTCCCCAGAGGGTGGGAGAGGCTTGTGTTCCATTTACAGAGGCAGTATAAACACATAATTTTCTAAAACCACAACTACTACCTTTACTTCTAAAGAGTTCAGGCTACTTTCACATATTGTGAAATTTCAGATAAGAGGACCCAAAACAACAAGAAATCTGTGGAGGGAGGAGAATAAAGCACAGAATAACTTAGACTGTGTTTGATTTTCCTTTCTAGAAGCTATCTTCTACAGAAAAACATCTCTTTTCCAAAATTTCCCTTCTTTCAGAATAATAAATGTATACAATTTTTAGCTGCTTTATTGAGGAATACTTGATACACAAGAAACTGTACATATTTAAAGCATGCAATTTGATATGCTTTCATACATGTATCCAACCATGAAACAGTCCCCACCAGCAAGGTGATGTGCATACCCCTCATCCCCCAAAGTTTCTGCCTGCCCCTTTGTCATCCCTCCCTTCCACCATACTCTACACCTCATCTCCAGCAAACACTGAGCTGCTTCCAATTTTTTAAAGATACATGATTTTTTAGAAAATGTTTCAAATCAGAAACTAGAGTCTATACTGAACATTATTGTTTTATGTGTGCTCCTTAGTCATCCCCTGGCTCTTCTAAACCAATCATCACCCTTTCCGTCTCTAAAGTGATTGGAAATATTGGAAGTCGAATACCATATCTTCAGTTCTTTCATGACCTGCAGAGTTGGCTATGTCAAGGCTGCATGCACAGCCTATTCAGGAAAAGTGGATGGACTACTTTTCCCCTGAAGCACATCTCCAGCTTCCCAGGCAATCTGCTGGAGATAAGCTACACACACTCTGAAAATAAATGACTGCATTAGGTACTTCTTAGCCTCTGCTTGGGGAAACCTAGCCTCTCAGAGAAAAACTCTGGCACTCTGGGAAATACGAAGATTTTTGTCAGTCAACATAGCAAGTGGGAAAGAGAAAGATGGGGCAGGGGAGATTAAAAAATAAAAAGAAAGGAACCACCACCACAGTCTCTGACCTTGAAATGGTTGACCACCAAGGACAAGACATACTACAAATAATGCACATAGGAAGAAGAGCTAAGAACTCTAGAACACAGTGCTCCAGGGGTCCAAAAGAAGGAGAGGTGCTTCTATTTCAGAGTAGCCCAGGCTCCATTATGGAAAGGCTGATGACAGGGACTAACACCCACAGTTCCCCAAACGCTCTCCTGTGCCCCATCTCCTGTGATTCCCACAAGAGTACTGTGAATAAAACAGTGCTATTAAAGGTTATAATTTTCCCTTAAATGGTGGAAAAACTGAACCTCGTATAGGTCAGGTGACTGCTAAGGAGGGGCAGAGCTGGGGCTGGAAAGTTTTGTCTTTTGATCTCAATGCCATTGCTGTTTCTATGACACCAGACAGCGTTCTCAGGTGGAGGATATCTAGACAACTAGACAACAACTACCTCAGACCCTCCCTTTAAAAATCAAGAACATTCCTGAATCAAGAATATCCAGGAGATAATAAAAATAAATTTTAAAAAATCAAGAACATCATTCTAACAAGGGTCCAGTGGTACATTTGCTAAGGAAGTGCTCTGAGAGCCACTCTTGGGCCTCAGGGACCACACACACTGTGGTCAGGTGTTGATATGGTTTGGCTGTGTCCCCACCCAAATCTCACTTGAATTGTAGCTCCCATAATCCCCATGTGTCATGGGAGCAACAAGGTGGAGATAACTGAATCATGGGGATGGTTTCCTCCATCCTGTTCTAGTAATAGTGAGTGAGTTCTCACGAGATCTGATGGTTTTATAAGAGGTTTCTCCCTTCGCTGGGCACTGATTCTCTCCTGCCACCCTGGGAAGAGGTGCCTTCCACCATAATTGTAAGTTTCCTGAGGCCTCCCCAGCCATGAGAAACTATGAGTCAATTAAACCTCTTTCCTTTAGAAATTACCCAGTGTTGGCTATTTATTCATAGCAGCATGAGAACAGACTAATACAGGTGCCATGGCAGAGATGTGTTTCCTCCAGAGCACACACACATTCCAATGGTCATGAGATGAGCCATATTTCAAATGCATTAAAGAGGCTTGCCACTTCACAACCTCCAAATAATCCTATAAGGAAAAGACAGGATAATTACCAGTACTACTATTAATTACACTCAAGTTTCTTGTTGAGTGAGTTTGTATTCTTGAGGATCAGGCTTCCTTAGGTGAAGCATGCTCATGGCCTCACCATCATCATCATGGTAAGTGATAATGCTTGCCATACAGTGGACTCCAAAAGATGTTTGTGGAATGAACAAATGAGGTCAACAGGCCACACTACGGAACTCTTTAATTATCATGTTAAACATGCTGATGGGAAATTATCTGTCCCTAAATCATGGCAGAATAATCATAGTCAAGTATGAGGCAATCCTTTCCAGTCTGGATAGTTTTAAAGAACTTGGTATAAGCATGTATTTCTTTCCATTAAGGTCCTTCGAGAGTGGATCTTATTTGTTTCATTTTCTTGGAGAAAATCTGTCCCTGAACTTGAAAAAATAACATTTAAAAGGAAAAAAACAAAGAAACTGAGTTTGCTAAGAGGTTAAATACAAGGCTCAGCAGACATACTACAACATATGCATATGTGAGCACCACTTATTTCAAAGCTAGCCTGTTAGGGAGCTACAGATATATTCCAGAGATACTGGTTTGGGGCAAAAAATGTGCAGAATGCCTTTTTGGAACTATCTTTATCTTTACAATCAGTTGATGTGATATACAAAAAAAACCCCTGTCATACTACTTTACAGTCTTGGCTCATTTTTAACCAAAAATTACTCTAGCCAGTTTAACCACCACCCATGAGGCTGACTTAGTGATGAACAACTAACTCTTGGCCAGTCACTGACATCAAATCCACCTTCTAAGAATAAATACCACTAGGGTTAAAAAAAAAAAAAAAAATCTTCAGCAGAGTGTGCCAAGGGCTCTAAAAACAAATTCCAAAGAGAGACTTCAAAGATATTTTGAGTAATAGCAACATTATTGGAAGATATGTATAACCTCTCAAAGTGGACTCATACACAATTTTCACAAACTGCAATATAAATCCTTAAACAGCCGAAACATACTTGTAGGCAACAATTCCATTATGTTTTGGTCATCTTTACATTATTCCCCTGGCACAGTGCCTAGTACATAGTAGGGCATGCAGCAAATGCTTTCAAAATTAGATTTCCTATGGGAATAAAGTACAGAATTACCATTAGTCACAGAAGAGCCATTACCCACTAGACTTTTGTCCTAAGGAGAAAATGCTGTCTCGTGTTTCCTCATTGTCAAAGGTGGGTTTTACCGCTTTAGGGGCTCTACCTCAAGACAGTAACTGACAGATCTATTTGGTTTTACTGCCTTCTACCTCTACTGGCAAGTAGAAAACTTATCCCTCCGAATGTTGTCTCTTAAAGAAATCTTTATTTTAAAACAACTAAAATGTAAATTGAAGGGATTTCAGAATCTATAAAAAAGCACTAGCATCTACTACACTTTTATAAACTGTGAGCAACTGGCTATCAAGACGAAAATAAAAAAAATTATACAGGATCTACTTCCATAGAAAAGGTAATGGAATTCCCTTTGAGGATGTGCCCACTATGTATTAAGTATTATGCTGCCCGCAGTCTTCAGGAAATCCTACAGAGGAGGTATTATCATTCTTATTTCTACAGATAAAGAAACTTGAAGCTTTGAGAAGTTAAATACAGATGTCTAAGTTTACATATTCCTTACAGGGCAGAGCTAAGGTTCAAATTCAGGTCTGTTAGAATCCAGGTCTCTCCTTCACCTCTAAACTGTGGAGTTTATTCCAGAAGTCTAAAGCAGAAGGCCCATTGGCCAGCCAAAGGGGGCCTAAAACAGTGATTTGATAAACATGAATGAATTGCCAAAGTTTAGAAATATGAGGTTTTGCATAAAACACGGATTTGTACCTCCATTATGTCAAACCTACATCATTCATTTGTCTTTATAGGCCAGGCAGTTAATGCTTTTGAGTCTCTGACCTTTGCTATTCCCTGCTGCCTCCCTAATACTCTGGGTCAAGTGACTTGTTCATGGTCACAAGCCGCAGGCCTCGATCCCACATGTCCTTATTCTTGTCTGCTCTGCTACTCAGATTCTCACTGGCAACCAAACATATATATGCTTTAATGGCCTGTGAAGTGGGGTCACACCATTCTTCCACAATTCCCTTTGAAATGACTATCATGAGCTTGCATTTCTGATGAACATGCTGGAACTGCTAAGACTTCACATCTTTTTTCTTTCATTTGCCAAAAGTCCCCTATAAATAAATCACTCAGCTTCCACATATCCTCTCCTTGGTCTCCCATTCCTGTTCTGCCAGGAGCTGCCAGCAGCAGCTATGGTTGAATACTGAAGGGGAAAAGAAGCTACAAAGGAAGCCCCAGCGGAGCATCTTTGACTTCTAACCCATAGGTCAGGGGATAGGGAAGATGCATACCAGCAGGTGACTCATAGATCACACATACCAGTGGGTGACTCAAGCCACTACCCTTTGGAGTAGACACAATTTTTATTTTCATTTCAGATGTTCGTCAGAGGAAATCAGTTTGAATCATTTTCAATTATGTAAATACTAAAGCATATTTCAACCACATAAGATGGTAAAATTTTCTCCTCCTTCCTCTCAAAGGTACTAAGTTTATCAAATTAAATGATAAAACTTCCTCTCCCAGACTAGGAAAATACACCAAAAACTAGTTTGCCAATTGAAAATTATTTTTAGAGGTGTTTGGAGTATATGCATTATCAAATATAGTTCCTATTAAAAAAAAAAAAAAGCAAAACACAACATTGTACTTATTCCAATGTTTCTATATGTGACTGAAGCCAGAAACTGTATTTGTCAAAATATCATTCTTTTCAGGAAAGTACATCAAATTAATAATGAGTTGTGCCTGAAGAGGTTTTAGAATCTCAAAGTAAGCAGGCTCTGTACTTTTCTAATAAACTAATAAAGAATAGACAGCTCTTTATTAAGAAGAATCGACTTTTTATTTATACCAAAGTGGTGTTTCTTTGACATTTGTTTTTGTTTCATTTCTGACCTACTTTCTTTCTGACAGTCTTGAATGAATATCCATTCTTATGTCCTTTAACCATCTTGCAAGGTAGCCAGGCCAACTGGCTTTCCCCCGGACAGTAAATCACTCTGGGACTCTGTGTTCTAATATCAACTCGGCCAGATATTTGCCACGTGTGCTTTATCAACCTCTCCATCTCTTCTGCTTGACTTCAGACATCTGCAAAGCTGAAAAACAGCTCTGACACAGAACAAAGGGTTTTAAGGTGCTCTGAAAGTGCACAGAGGGCCAAACCATGGCAGCTGTGGATTAGCAGGTTCTCACTTCATTCTGCTGGTGCTTGGAGACTGCACAGTGGTTAGAAGAGCAAAGGCTCAGGGATCAGACAGCCTGGGTTTAGAGCCCAGCTCTGCCACTTATTAACTGTGCAACCTTGGGCAACTCACTTAACCTCTCTGTGCTGCGGCCACCTCAGCTATAAAATGGGACATCGAGAGTTAAACATGATTAGATATTCAAAAGACTTAGTGCAGTGCCTGTCATGCCATAAAACTTAGTAAATACCAGCAATATTTATTATTCTTCCATTTTTGATGCCCTCACTGACATACCCTGAGTGTGAGTAAAATTTTGTCATTCAGCTTGACTATATTTAGTGCCTTGATTCTTGAAGGAAACAATGTCAGAACCGTTAGTATAATTTCCTAAGATCTAGTCAGACATCTCTAGGGCATAAATTGTTATGTGGGACCAGCCATGAAGTACCGCACTGCAGGTGTTTTGGAAAGTCACGCTAAATCTGAGCAGAGGATGTGAACCCCATGCACCCTGCAGCAAGAGTTCGGTGGGGTGGTTTGCTACTCGCTCTCTTCCCTGACTGATGTCTGGTTCTGACATCCAGAGCATGACATATGACAGATGACAGCGACACGTCTGCCCATGCCCACGAGCACACCCGGGTTTTACAAAAGCCAATGTAATTTTTTCAGTAAGTAATGAAAACAGTGCACAAGGGGTGTGCAGGATTTCACTTGTTCATTTGCTTTGACATTTTTAGGGAATTTCTTGTGATAGTCCTAAAAGTATTTTACAAACACATGAAAAATGAAATTAGCCATTTTTTCAGGCTTCTACTTCTAATAAAAAAGATGATCATATATGCTTTTGAAGAACAAGCATAAATCTTATTTTATGGCTCAAAGTTACAATGTATAGGCTTTTACTCTTTTCTGAATATGAAGAAAGTTGCCACACATTTTACTTTTATCACTGCTTGCCTTTGATGAAGTCTCTGTAATTGTTACAATAACAACCATACCTTGCATCTTTCTCATATGCAAAAAACACAAATGCTACTCCACTTGATCTATCTTTATTTATTCATTGTTTAAAATGTATCCATAAACCAAATTAAAAATAAAAGAAACTTAAAAACTACAAAATCAAAGGTCTACTCCTGGGAGCCAGCAAAAAATAAAACAAAAGAGCTAAGATTTTGGACACAGGCAGACTTGGATTTGTGGGTGAGAAAATTAGTCCCTTCTCTGCTTTGATTTCCTCATCTGTAAAATAATAATAATAATAATAATAATAATACTTATACCTATACCTTGGAAGGCTGGTGGTACCAGGACAGTCCCTGAGGGAAAATGTGGCCCAGCAAATGATTTCTTAAGAAATAGAAGGAAAGTAAAAAGGAAAGAGGCAAAAAAGGAGGGAGTAGCAGTGACTCTCCCCAAGCTATACAAATTGGGTTATAACCCAGGCCTTCTGCCAAAATTCTGCCTCTCAAATAGAATACTTCACTGTTTTTATTATGTGAATTTTCCATACATAACAAAGTAGAGAGGAAAGTGTAAAGAACCCCCAAAAACCTATCACTAAGCTTCAACAATTACTACATTTTACCATTCTGATTTCACCTATTTCCCTATACACATACCTTTTTTCTTTTGAAGGAGTATTTTTTAAAGAAAGTCTTAGGCCTCGTGTAAATTCATTAATAAGTGCTTCTAAATAGATAAGGGCTTTTAAAACTCACAATACCACCAACTCAATAAAATTACCAATAATTCCTTAGTAATATGTAATAAACAGAATATGTTTCATTTTTGCATGTTTTAAAAAAAGGCATTTTTTTAGTTAGTTGTTCAAATCGAGTTCCAAACAAAATTCGTATCTGCAATTGGTTTACAGGTCCCTTAAGTCTTTTAACTTAACACTTCCCCATCTCCACTTTTTTCTCATAGCATTTATACACTGAAAAAAAAAAAAATAGGTCACTTGTTTTGTAGAACTTCCTACATTCAGGCATTGGCTGATCTGTACCCTTGTAGTGGTGTTTAGCATGTTCCTCTGTCTCCCGTATTTCCTATAACCTGGTGTTAAGAGTTAGATGTGGATGTTTAATGAACTTCTGTTTCAGCCTCGTTGAGGGAAGGGATGTGGGTAAGACTGTTTCACAGGTGGTGCTGTTACTTTTCTATCAGATCACATTGGAGGAGCATAACTAATGTTCAGCTGTTCCACTTTTAGTGATATGGAGACTGATCAGTGGGCTCAAGTGTTATCAGCCTGATTCTCTGTTAGATAGCACCAATTTTACTTGATGATTTTATCATTCATTAATGGTTGTTGCTTAGCTCCATTATTTCATTAGATGCTACAAAACTGTAGGTTTTTAAAACTTTTCTAGCACCCTTCTGCACTTATTAGCTGTAATTCTCTATAAAGTAAATAGGAAAGCAGGGGTGGATGTGAGATCTCCTTTTAAAATCTACTTTCAGAACAATGACTTGGTGCCCTAACAATCTCAGAAGTGACAAATGAGAGATTTTTTTGTTTGTTTTATTGTCTTGTGTCTTTAGAATTTTGTCATAAACTCATGGACTTTTATGTATTTTTATATATTTCTATCCTTTTGATGCTCAAACTGTCTCATCTTTGCCCTCTGAGGGGGTCCCCTCAGGTTGGCTTCTGAATCATTCTGACACGATCCCAGCAGTCTCTCTGATGGCTTTGCTTTAGATGGTTCAAAAAGAACCTTTAAAAAAAAGTAATCAAGAGGCTGGGCACGGTGGCTCACACTTGTAATCCCAGCACTTTGGGAGGCTGAGGCGGGTGGGTTACTTCAAGTCAGGAGTTCGAGACCAGCCTGGCCAACATAGCAAAACCCTGTCTCTACTAAAAATACAAAAAAAAAAAAATTGCTGGGCATGGTGGCATGTGCCTGTAATCCCAGCTATGTGGGAGGCTGAGACATGAGAATCACTTGAACATGAGAGGCAGGGGTTGCAGTGAGCCAAGATCACACCACTGCACTCCAGCCTGGGCAACAGAAGGAGGAGACTCCGTCTCAAAAAAAAAAAAAAAAAAAGTAATCAAGAAAGTCTTTATGTGTTGTTTATCATTCTGATATTCCATTTTCCTTGTTTCATAGCAATTACACACAGAGGCTCTTCAATAACATCTACTGATATGTGTTTGTTTATGTGCCTTATGCTATAATTTAAACCAAAAAAATGCAATCCTGTTGAAAATACCAGATGTGACAGGTATGGGAGTCAGGGAGTTCAGTGAAAAGAGCCAGGCTGTGAAGTTAGTCAGACCTGGATCTGAATTCCAGCCCATCACTTACCGACTGTGTAACTTCAGGTTTGTCATTAAATCTTCCTGTGCCTCGGTTTTCTCATCTGTAAATGGGATTGATAACAGTAATACCTATTGTGCACACCTGCCAGTAAGTACTTTAAAAAGCAACTAAATTCTCTTTTACACTACTCGGTCCTGAATAGAACCTCAAGAAATTGTAGTCACAACTATTATTGTCATTATCTATCTTGCATGCTTCAATTTATCCTTAACTATGTTTATGTTACACATTCCAGTTTGAACATCATCGTCTTTAATAGAGAAAGAGAGAAGCCAAATAGTTGAGTAGGTCTGTTTTTCGTCATATTTTAACATTATTCTATCTGCCCCAAGCAATGAGCTTAGCCTTTACTTGTTTTTCTTGTTTTGAGCATAGCTTTAAAGAGCGCTTTCTTGTTGTCTTTAACATTCTCTTCAGCTTCAGCTCAGTCTGAACTTGTGCTTTGCAGATATTTTCTTACCGGTTTACACTACTCTTCTGAATTTGTTCCTTTCATGTGCTTGTCTTTCAATCTTCTATACATATTCTCTTAATATCCAAGCCCATCAAAAATTCCTTGTTCTTAAAATGGTTCCTGAGCCAGGCGCGATGGCTCATGCCTGTAATCCCAGCACTTTGGGAGGCTGAGGCAGGCAGATCACCTGAGGTTAGGAGTTCGAGACCAGCCTGGCCAACATGGTGAAACTCTCTCTACCAAAAAATACAAAAAGTAGCCAGGCATGGTGGTGGGCAC